CTTATTTAGTATGATGTTGGCAGTGGGTTTGTCATAAATGGCTTTTATTTGTTTGAAGTAAGTGCCTTCTATGCCTATTTTGTTGAGGAAATTTATCATAATATAATTCTGGATTTTATCAAATACTTTTTCTGCATTTTTGAGATGATCATACTTTAAAAAAAATTCTGTTCATAAGACGTATCACATTTATTGACTTGCATATGTTAAACCGTCCCTGCATCCCTAGGATAAAACCTACTTTGTCATGATGTATTATCTTTTTGATGTACTGTTGAATTCAGTTAGCTGTATATTGTTGAGAAGTTTTGCATATATGTTCATCAGGGACGTTGGTCTGTTGATTTCCGTTTTTGTTGTAGCCTTTGCTGGTTTTGCTATTAGTATGATACTGGCTGCATAGAATAGTTTAGTAAACATTTCCTCTTTCTTTATTTTTTGGAATAGTATTAGTAGAAATAGTACCAATTCTTCTTTGAATGTCTAATTGAATTCAGCTGTGAATCCCTCTGGTTTTAGCCTTTCTGGTTGTTGGCAACTTTCTTTTTATTACCAATTCCATCTTGCTGCTTGTTATTGAGTTCTTCATGGTTTCTATTTCTTACTGATTTAAGAGGGTTGTATGTTTTCCAAGATCTGTCAATTTTCTCTAGATTTCCTAGTCTGTACATGTAAAAGTGCTCATAGTAGCCTTAAATAATTTTTTATAATTTTTGTGTTATTGATTGTAATATGTCCAGTTTTATTTCTAACTGAGCTTATTTAGATTTTCTCTTTTCTTTTCTTGACTAATCTTCAAATGAGCTCTCCATTTTATCTTTTCAAAAAAATAGCTTTTTGTTTCATTTATCTTTTCCATTTTTTGTTTCAAAGTCCTTCAGTTCTGCTCTTACCTTTGTTGTTTCTTGCTTTCTGCTTTGTTTGGGTGTGCTTTGTTCTTGTTTTTCTAGTTTCTTGAAGTGTGACCTTAGCTGTCTATTTGTGCTCTTTCAGACTTTTTGGTGTAGGCATTTAATGCTATAAACTTTTCTCTTAGCATCATTTTTGCAGTATCCCAGATGTTTGGATAATTTGTGTCATTATTATTGTTCATTTTAAATAATTGTTAAATTTCCATCTTGATTTAATTTTTAACTCAAACATTAATCAAAAGAAGATTGTTGAATTTTCATTTATTTTTAGAGTTTTAAGGGTTCCTTTTGAAGGTAATTTCCAGTTTTATTTCACTGTGATCTGAGAAAATTCTTGATATGATTTTGATTTCTCTAAATTTATTGAGACTTGTTTTTTTGGGGCCTATTATACGGTATATCTTGAAGAATTTTCCATGTACTGAAGAGAAAAATGCATATTCTGCAGTTTGGGAGAAGAACGTTCTGTGAATGCCTGTTAGGTGTATTTGTTCTAGAGTGTAATTTAAATTCATAGCTTCTTCTTTACTTTATGTCTTGATGATTTGTGTAGTGCTGTCAGTAAAGTATTGAAGTTCCCCATTATTACTGTGTTGCTGTTTTTCTGAGTTCTCAGGTGTTAGTGTGTCCACAATTGGTGGGTTATTAGTCTCGCTGACTTCAAGAATGAAGCCACAGACCCTCGCAGTGAGTGTTACAGTTCTTAAAGATGGTGTGTCTGGAGTTTGTTCCTTCAGATGTTCAGATGTGTCTGGAGTTTCTTCCGTCTGGTGGGTTCATGGTCTCACTGACTTCAGGAGTGAAGCTGCAGACCTTTGCGGTGAGTGTTACATCTCTTAAAGGCAGCACATCTGGAGTTATTCATTCCTTCTGGTGGGTTCGTGGTCTCCCTGGCTTCAGGAGTTAAGCTGCACACCTTCACAGTGAATGTTATAGCTCATAAAGGTGGTACGTCTGGAGTTGTTCATTCTTCCCGGTTGGTTCGTGATCTCACTGGCTTCAGAAGTGAAGCTGCAGACCTTCACCTTGAGTATTACAGCTCATGAAGACGGCATGCACCTAAAGAGTGCCCAGTAGCAAGATTTATTGCAAAGAGCGAAAGAACAAAGCTTCCGCAGCATGGAAAGGAACCTGAGTGGGTTGCCCCTGTTAGCTCAGGTGGCCTGCTTTTATTCCCTTAACTGTCCCCACCCATATCCTGCTGATTGGTCCATTTTAGAGAGAGCTGATTGGTCCATTTTACAGAGAGTTGATTGATTCGTTTTGACAGAGTGTTGATTTGCACATTTACAATCCTTTAGCTAGACACAGAATGCTGATTGGTGTGTTTATAATCCTTTAGCTAGACGCAAAAGTTCTCCAAGTCCCCCACCAGATTAGCTAGACACAGAGTGCTGATTGGTGAGTTTAGAAACCTTTAGCTAGACACAGAGTGCTGATTGGTGAATTTAGAAACCTTTAGCTAGACACAGAGTGCTGATTGGTGAATTTAGAAACCTTTAGCTAGACAGAGAGTGCATTTACAAACCTTTAGCTAGACAGAAAAGTTCTCCAGGTCCCCACTAGACCCAGAAGCCCAGCTGGCTTTACCTCTCAATGGTACTCACCACGGGATTGTGGCACCTAGCCCAGGAACTCTGGCAGCCCAGAGGGAGATTACCCCCAGTCAAGCCCAGCAGGCACCGGCCGGCCACACCAAATGCAGGGCACATGGAGCCCCTACCCACCCAGAACCTGCGCCAGCCCACCAGTGCCACCTGCAGCCCCGACTCCTGCCAGTGCCTCTCCCTCCACAGCTCCTTGCAAGCAGAGGGAGCCAACTCGCCTTGGCCAGCCCCAGAGAGGGCTCATAGTGCGGTGGCAGGCTGAAGGGTTGCTCAAGCATGGCCAGAGTGGACCCTGAGGCCAAGGAGGTACCAAGAGTGAGTGAGGGGCCGGGCGTGGTGGCTCAAGCCTGTAATCCCAGCACTTTGGGAGGCCGAGATGGG